GAGAAGAAACTTTTGCTGTAAATAGAGAAACCCCTTTTTCTACGTTTACTAGCGTTTTTGAGTCGATTGAACTAGGTACTACCCTACTTCTCAGAGTATCGGAGATGTTATTTTTGTGGCTTGAGCGGCTAAGACTTGATCAAATTATTCGGTTTTAATGGTAAAAAAATTCCTACGCCCTCAACAATCACTCAATCGGCTCAAAAACGCTGGTACAACTAGAAAAGGGGTTTCTCCATCTACAGTATATGTTTTGTCTCCAAATGTGAAATCAGAACGGAAAGATAAAGAAAAACGTATGTTTTACAGCTTTACTTCTTTGTAAATTAATTTGCACGGATCACCCATAATGCCCCTTAGAGTGTGAAGGTGTCCGATACTCATTAAGAGATTTCTATTTTGTGTAGGTGGGAAAAAAATAATTTTCCGGAAAATGCCACTAAAATGCTCGAAAAAATGCAACATAATGTACAAAAGCTTAACTGCAGCCTAATTCTGAAGCCATGTTTTCTTTACTATATTTGACGTTTTAGATTTTCCAAGTCGATAGTAGTACAGTCACAGTTCCGTCAGTTTGGATTTTAATGTGCTCCAGTCGTCCTTGGTACTTAACATATCCACCGCAGAATTCTTCATTCACTGTCAACACCAAAGCGGAAATCAAGATCCTTTGCATAAATGGGGCCAAACTTTGAATAACAATACCTTACACATCCTTAGCCTCGTACTGATGTTGTCAGACAAAGCATTTTGCACAGGATTGTGAGGCTTACAATGTATAAATTAATTAAATTTAGCAGTTATTTATGCAAAGGGTCTATACACTTGGACTGAACTCATTATTTCAGTCTTACAGCGGATAAATAACCACACTTAAAAAAAAAAAAAAAATAGATAAAAAATGAAACGGCGGCCGCACAAAGTTTTAATTTCATGTTCAAGCTCAATGACACAATGTAGTTAAAGTTCTACTCGAGCAATGAAGTTCAACAACTAAAACTGTCAACCAATTTAACTGTTCTCGTATTAATAGTGCTGGGTTCTGTTAGAAGGTTTGTTGAAGCATAACTTAATATGTGGATTGATCAGTAACATCAAAATCGTCATTTAGCTTAACAACAACGTCGGTGGGTGCGCAAACGCGGTAACCAATTCTTAAAGAGTCACTCGAAATGCGTTAACTAGAAAAAAGTAGAGAACTCATTGGCGGATCTAGGGGAGGACCCGGGGGGCCCGCCCCCCTTACTTTGGGTAAAAAAGGACGAAATTACTGATGGAAGAAAAGCCGGCGGGGCAAGCAAAATAAAACCGCCCCCCCCGCTCCCCGTCTTAATTCAAGGTCTGGATCCGCTACTGGAACGTAAATAGTCAAATAATGATGCAAACATTGCCCCCAGCCCATTAGAAAGTACACTACGTGTCTTCTGATCATCTGATCTTATCACTAAGATCAATAAGACTTTAATCGTCGCTTTAGACTGAGTGGCTAGTCGCCTAAGGTCTTCTACATTGTGATAATTTATATACTATGGGTCCCTTCGTTACTCAACAACTGCCTGAATAATAACAACAAACTGGAATTCTGGAAATCTGAAAATAAAAAGCTGTTAAAACTAGAATTTAGTTAGCTTAGCAGCATCACCTGGGAGTGCAAAAAGCATTCTGTCAGCTTCACAGCTGTAGCTTTTGAAAACATTATGTCGGGGGTACCAAGACTGATGAAATTATAATGGCATAGTGATGATACCAAGGTAATAAATAACACAGGACAAGTACACGGTAGATTGCAAAAGCGTGGGAAGCAGAGAAACATAAATACCCATGGCTTATCAAATGGTAATACACTATCACAACCCAAGTGACAAAATTTAATTTTTAAAATCCTTCACAGCTCAAAGCATGTAATAAAAACAGCAAGAAGAATAGTTACGTAGCATTTGTTTGATTCTTTTAACAAACTGAGTTGCTATACAGTTCTCCTGGCAAAATAGCCACTGTCCATATTTAAGCTGAACGTCTATAAACGATGTTTCTTTCACAATGAACGTCGTAGCTAATTTAGAAATAAGGTTCTTTGAAGGCGAATAAACACTATTAAGTACTTTTTTCAGCTTCACGCTTTTTGATAACCTCTTACCGGCAAAGTCTGGTTTGAAAGGTCGAAGCCAATGAGTTTGCGTCATCGAAACTACGAAGCCTGTTTGTTTCCGAAGGCTCTAATGTTGCATTTGGATAAAAAGTTAACATGAATTATCAACGGAAATTGTCTTACACATCAATTAGTTATGATACATAACAAAGTGGAAAGTATTTCTCACAAATCAAGAATCATACATCTATTATTTCTCATAAATCTTGCACAATACCTCATAAATCAAGCCTTAGAAAACAATTGCAGAGCGGCTTTTTGTATATAAACTACTTTCTATATATATATATATAGCTCAAACAGATGATTCACCATGTCCAGAATAATATTGCCAATCAGAAAGCTTCCGACGCTTTTATTTAGGACTCACCATATTCGCGAAAAGGTGAGTCACTGGCGAGCAGAAGAGACCAGCCTTGGAATGGCTGAACAGACACCTTCTTGTTATCGTCAGTGTAAAGAGTGAAGCCCAGCATTCCTGCCACAACAGCGGCAGTGTCTTTCACACCAGACGGGTTTTTGAGGTCGATTGGCACACTTACCAGGCCACTTGTCATCTCATCGATATCCATGGCACGTTTTTTTCCCTCCAAAAACTCGGTGATCCATCCTCTATAATGGTACTCGCCAGGGACGAAATACATACCTGATGCGTACACATTTTCGTAGCTCATAATATGGCTCCACCATTCGCTAACCGCGCTGCCCTTGTAAGTAGCCAGCAGGTTGCTGAAAACTTTTTCGACAACATCCCACCACTCTGACGGCAAATCGAGATCATTCTCAATGGGCTCCAGCAGTGTCCGCAGTACCTTCAGTTTGGATTTTAATTTGCTCCAGTCGTCTTCAGTACCTAGCATCTCTACTGCAGGGATTCCACATCCACACTTCATACCAAAGCTGAAATACTCTTGGACTGAAGTCATCATTGTGATCTGCGAAACAATCTTCTGCACTGCAGTTGTGGTGCTGAAATCTGCTGTCATGCCATCCACGAACTCAGGCACTCTGATGTTCTCTTGTACTCCCTTCGATATTTGATCAAAGAACCAGCTGTAGTCGACAGTATAGATGCTTGTATCGGGCACTACTACCTCGATGGTTTTCTTTCCTTCGTGATCAACGAACATCTTACGAACGGACTCTTTTTTGGCGTTTCTGTCGATGGCAGAGGCGACTCGTTTAATGACACAGAACCACCAGTCATCTGGAGAGGTTCGAAGTTTCCAGTGATTATTGTATGCCGTCAAAACGGCGGCAAACAAACCACAATCTCCAATGGAATAAATTGCCTCCTCGGATCCTACAGCATTAACTACTTGTTTTGACACAGGGAGTACTGGAGGTTTCTTCACTTTAGCGCTGTTCTGCTTCCTTAGCTCATCGATGTGAAACTTGGTACGAAAGGCGTATTTGTCAATCAATTGCTTGGCTTGGCTTGGCGAAAGCTTGGAGTCGTCGAACTTAGATGGAACCAGGCTGCTATCAAGGGATATGCATTTGATATCCAATCCATGTTCCTGTTGAGTACTAATGGCAGACGACTTGAAACGGTCGTCATTTTCCATTCTGTATGCAGTCAAATTTACGAAAACTATACAATTCTTTGGCGGACAAATAAGCACACTTTAACTAGTATTGGCAGGTGTGCAAATGTTATGATTTAGTGTCCTCGCTTTCTTGAATGATAACCAATGAACTTTAAGTACTAAAATTATCAACCAATCTTGGCCGTTTTCCCAATGATAAACCGTTTCGAGCTCCACTGACCTTGAACAGGCCTTAAAACTTCCTGTTTACAGTTTTATGTCGCCCCAATATCAAGACATTGTTTAAAATGTAAGACATTGAATTATTAGACAAGATAAATGTCTGCGTCAATCGCTTTACGTTTGTCGCACGCTATTCTAAAACCTTACTAGCTCTGAAAATTGAAAAAAATCATATTCACCCCGGCACTGACGATGCGTAAATATCATATCAGCTCACTCAAATTGACACCAATCTTGACTGTTTTCGAATGATAAACAGTTTCGAACTCCACTGACCTTGAACAGGCCTTAAAACTTCCTGTTTACAGTTTTATCTCGCGTCAATTGCAAGACATTGTTTTAAACTGTAAGACATTGAAAGATAAGACATGATAAATGTCTGCGTCAATCGCTTTAGTTTATTTAGTCGCACGCTATTCTAAAACCTCCATCAAATCAGCTCACTCAAGTTGACACCAAGCCAGTAAAAACTAGATGTTTATTGATGCATAACTGCATGTACGAACCCGCAAGAACAAAAGCGTCTATTTTTGAGATAGGATTAAAAGCGTGGAATTGAAAGCCGCCCTAGTACTTCCTTATGCAAATGTGGTTCAAGAGAAATGAAGCGCATGTCGATTAAAGACGTTTACACATGTAGCAGACGTTTTTTCTAGCAAACGCCTGAATAAAAGCTAACTTATTATCTTTAGATCGAAACCAGATTCCCAGTTATGGTTCGGAGAGTGAAAACCAACATGGCAGTTTATTGAGTTCATAGCTGAGGCCATTGAGAAAGTTATCCCGAGAGGACAAAAAGCAATTACAAGAGATCTCGTGAGTAAGACTACAGGCTTATCAACAGTCTTAGCAAGAAACATTGAGACAGGAGGAACATTCAATATTCAGCTTAGAATGTATAATTAAATTCAGGGGCGATTTATTAAAAGGGTCTATACTCTTGGACTGAACTCATCGTTTTGATCAGTCTTACAGCGGATACATAACCACATTAAAAAAAGAAAACAGTAGAACATCAGCGGACGTACAAAGTTTTAATTTTATGTTCAAGCTCAATGATACAATGTAGTTAAAGTTCTATTTTGAGCAATGAAGTTCAACAACTAAAATTGTCAACCAATTTACATGTAACTGCTCTCGTATTAGTAGTGCTGGGTTCTGTTAGAAGGTTTGTTGAAGCATAACTTAATATGTGGATTGATCAGTAACATCAAAATCGTCATTTAATTTCACAACGATGTCGGTGGGTGCCCGAACGCTGTAGCCAGTTCTCCAAGAGTCACTCGAAATGCGTTTACTAGAACAAAAGAAGAGAACTCAGTGCCGGATCTAGGGGAGGGGCCCGGGGGACTCACTCTCCCCTTATTTTAGGTAAAAAAAAGAAAAAATAGAAATCAGAGAAGGAAGAAAAGCCGGCAGGGCAAGCAAAACAACCGCGCTCCCCCCTCCCCCCCACCCCCGCCTTAGCTCAAGGTCTAGTTTAAAAGGTGGAAGCCAATTAGTTTGCGTCATCTGAACTACGAAGCCTTTTTGTTTCCAAGGCTCTAATGTTGCATTTTGATAAAAGTTAACATGAATTATCAAAGGAAATTGGCCTACACATAAATTACTTGTGATACATAACAAAGTGGAAAGTATTTCTCACAAATCTAGAATCATTCATCTGTTACTTGTCATAAATCTAGTACAGTACTAGTACCTCATAAATCAAGCTTGAGAAGAAAATTGCATAACCTTTTTGTATATAAACTATTGTATATCCCATACATGTAGTTCAAACAGATGATTCACCATGTCCAGAATGGTAATCTCAATCAGAAAGCTTTCGACATCGTTATTTAAGACTCGCGGTATTCGCGAAAAGGGGAGTCACTGGCGAGCAGAAGAGACCAGCCTTGGAATGGCTGCACAGACACCTCCTTGTTCTCGTCCTTGTGGACAGTGAAGCCCAGCATTCCTGCTACAACTGCGGCAGTGTCCGTCACGCCAGACGGGTGTTTGAGGTGGATTGGCACACTTACTAGGCCACTTGTCATCTCATCGATATCCAGGACATGTTTTTATCCCTCCAAAAACTCGGTGATCCATCCTCTGTAACGGTACTCGCCAGGGAAATACATGCCACATGCGTACATGTTCTCGAAGCCCATAATATGACTCTACCATTCGCTAGCCGCGCTGCCCTTGTAAGTAGCCAGAAGATTGGTAAACACGTTTTCCACTACATCCCACCATGCTGATGGCAAATCAAGGTCGTTTTCTATGGGTTCCAGCAGTGTTCGAAGTACCTTCAGTTTGGATTTTAATTTGCTCCAGTCGTCTTCAGTACCTAGCATCTCTACTGCAGGAATTCCACACGCATACGTCACACCAAAGCGGAAATATTCTTGGACGGAAGTCATCATTGTGATCTGCGAAACAATCTTCTGCACTGCAGTTGTGGTGCTGAAATCTGCCGTCATGCCATCCACGAACTCAGGCACTCTGATATTCTCTTGTACTCCCGTCGATATTTGATCAAAGAACCAGCTGTAGTCGGCAGTATAGATGCTTGTATCGGGCAATACTACCTCGATGGTTTTCTTTCCTTCGTGGTCAACGAACATCTTACGAACAGACTCTTTTTTGGCGTTTCTGTCGATGGCGCAGGCGACTCGTTTAATAACACAGAACCACCAGTCATCTGGAGAGGTTCGTAGTTTCCAGTGGTTATTGTATGCTGTCAGAACGGCGGCAAACCAAATGAACGGCAATCTCCAATGGAATAAATTGCCTCCTCGGATCCTACAGCATTAACTACTTGTTTCGACACGGGGAGTCTTGGAGCTTTCTTTACTTTTCCGCTGTTCTGCTCCCTCAGCTCATCGATGTGACACTTCGTACTAAAAGCAGATTTGTCAATCAATTGCTTGGCTTGGTTTGGCAAAAGCTTGCTGTCGTCGAACTTAGATGGAACCAGGTTGCTATTAAGGGATATGCATTCGATATCCAATCCATCATTAGGTTTAGTACTAATAACAGACGACTTTAAACGGTCGTTTTCCATTCTGTATGCAGCGAAATTTACGAAAAAGATCAATTCTTTGGCGGATAAATAATCACTCTTAAACAAGTATTGGCCGATGTGCAAATTTTATGATTAAGTGTCCTTGCTTTTTTCGAATGATAACCAATGAACTTTAAGTACTAAAATTATCAACCAATCTTGACTGTTTTCGAATGATAAACAGTTTCGAACTCCACTGACCTTGAACAGGCCTTAAAACTTCCTGTTTACAGTTTTATGTCGCGTCAATTGCAAGACATTGTTTTAAACTGTAAGACATTGAAAGATAAGACATGATAAATGTCTGCGTCAATCGCTTTACTTTATTTAGTCGCACGCTATTCTAAAACCTCCATCAAATCAGCTCACTCAAGTTGACACCAAGCCAGTAAAAACTAGATGTTTATTGTAGCATAACTGCATGTATGAACCCGCAAGAACAAAACCGTCTATTTTTGAGATAAGCTTTTAAGCGTGAAATTGAAAGCCGCCCTATAGTACTTCCTTATGGAAATGTGGTTCAAGAGAAATGAAACGCATGCCGATTAAAGACGGTTATACGTGTAGCTGAAGTTTTTTCTAGCAAACTCCTGAATAAAAGCTAACTTATTATCTTTAGATCGAAACCAGTTCCCAGTTATGGTTCGGAGAGTGAAAACCAACATGGCAGTTTATTGAGTTCATAGCTGAGGCCATTGAGAAAGTTATCCCGAGAGGACAAAAAGCAATTACAAGAGATCTCGTGAGTAAGACTACAGGCTTATCAACAGTCTTAGCAAGAAACATTGAGACAGGAGGAACATTCAATATTCAGCTTAGAATGTATAATTAAATTCAGGGGCGATTTATTAAAAGGGTCTATACTCTTGGACTGAACTCATCGTTTTGATCAGTCTTACAGCGGATACATAACCACATTAAAAAAAGAAAACAGTAGAACATCAGCGGACGTACAAAGTTTTAATTTTATGTTCAAGCTCAATGATACAATGTAGTTAAAGTTCTATTTTGAGCAATGAAGTTCAACAACTAAAATTGTCAACCAATTTACATGTAACTGCTCTCGTATTAGTAGTGCTGGGTTCTGTTAGAAGGTTTGTTGAAGCATAACTTAATATGTGGATTGATCAGTAACATCAAAATCGTCATTTAATTTCACAACGATGTCGGTGGGTGCCCGAACGCTGTAGCCAGTTCTCCAAGAGTCACTCGAAATGCGTTTACTAGAACAAAAGAAGAGAACTCAGTGCCGGATCTAGGGGAGGGGCCCGGGGGACTCACTCTCCCCTTATTTTAGGTAAAAAAAAGAAAAAATAGAAATCAGAGAAGGAAGAAAAGCCGGCAGGGCAAGCAAAACAACCGCGCTCCCCCCTCCCCCCCACCCCCGCCTTAGCTCAAGGTCTAGTTTAAAAGGTGGAAGCCAATTAGTTTGCGTCATCTGAACTACGAAGCCTTTTTGTTTCCAAGGCTCTAATGTTGCATTTTGATAAAAGTTAACATGAATTATCAAAGGAAATTGGCCTACACATAAATTACTTGTGATACATAACAAAGTGGAAAGTATTTCTCACAAATCTAGAATCATTCATCTGTTACTTGTCATAAATCTAGTACAGTACTAGTACCTCATAAATCAAGCTTGAGAAGAAAATTGCATAACCTTTTTGTATATAAACTATTGTATATCCCATACATGTAGTTCAAACAGATGATTCACCATGTCCAGAATGGTAATCTCAATCAGAAAGCTTTAGACATCGTTATTTAAGACTCGCGGTATTCGCGAAAAGGGGAGTCACTGGCGAGCAGAAGAGACCAGCCATGGAATGGCTGCACAGACACCTCCTTGATCTCGACCATGTGGACAGTGAAGCCCAGCATTCCTGCTACAACTGCGGCAGTGTCCGTCACGCCAGACGGGTGTTTGAGGTGGATTGGCACACTTACTAGGCCACTTGTCATCTCATCGATATCCAGGACATGTTTTTATCCCTCCAAAAACTCGGTGATCCATCCTCTGTAACGGTACTCGCCAGGGAAATACATGCCACATGCGTACATGTTCTCGAAGCCCATAATATGACTCTACCATTCGCTAGCCGCGCTGCCCTTGTAAGTAGCCAGAAGATTGGTAAACACGTTTTCCACTACATCCCACCATGCTGATGGCAAATCAAGGTCGTTTTCTATGGGTTCCAGCAGTGTTCGAAGTACCTTCAGTTTGGATTTTAATTTGCTCCAGTCGTCTTCAGTACCTAGCATCTCTACTGCAGGAATTCCACACGCATACGTCACACCAAAGCGGAAATATTCTTGGACGGAAGTCATCATTGTGATCTGCGAAACAATCTTCTAGAGTAAGACACTACAGGCTTATCAACAAGCTTAGCAAAAAACATTGAGACAGAAAAAAACATTGAGAGGAGGAATATTCAGCCAACTGTGATTTAGAAGAACAGTTAGCCACAATGAAATGCAAGAATTTGGTTAGCTCCATGAGCAAGCAAAAAAAACCGAATCCTGCACTGTGATTGGCTACCCGAGCCGGCAAGATAGCGCTATCTCGCCCGCTCAATATTACCCGGTGTGTCCCGCAAAAAGATAGTGCTCTTTTTCCATATAATAAATCCTTTATTGACCAAGCTTGTTCGGTCAAGATCACTGGATATTGGCCTGGTTCTCTTTTTCATGTTTCAGGGGCCATTAAAAAGCCATTTTGACCAAACAAGCTCGATTAATTACCCATATATACTTGTTATAAAGCCAGAGAGATGTGTAGTCTTATCTTATCTTAAAGAATATCAAAGGTCCAACCAAAAGGAAAACACATTCCACACAAGTCAGCTTAATGGCCCGGGCCAAAGTCATCACGAGTCGATTTGTTCGAATTTAAGACTGAACATGATCTATGGCAAAAGAAATTACTAAATCTTTCTTTGTTGGTCTACTTTTTGTCATTCATTACACCAAACGTTTATCTTTCGTATTCCCGAGTAAAATCCGTCAGCGTTGGGAACAAAGTTTGGGGCGTTGAAAGGCAACTTTCACAGAAATACCATTTTTTACGACGATAGTTCTCTTTCCCATTTCTTTAACTCGTTTCTTTTCCTTCTTTTCTTTTTTTTCGTTTCTTTTCTTTTCTTTTCTTTTCTTTTCTAAACCGCTGAGATCGATCCACCTTCACTCTATTACGAGGGAGAAACCCTTTTGATTCAAGTCCCTGTCTCTGTATAAATCAGGCTCGATAGGCTGATAAACAGTAAACTCGACAGAACTTTATTCTGAGAATGAAGCAATGCTACACGGCCATGATGTAAGAACGAGAACTCGAACACATGGTCGAACTTAAGAGGCT